CCAGCTCAGAAACACAGGGTGTGCTCTGACCCCCAGAGACAGATGGGGGAAACTGAGGCCTGGAGGGCGGCCGTGGGCAGAGGGCCACGCCAGGAGCAGGGCCCCGGCCAGGCAGCTGGCTCTGAGCGTGGACGGGAAGGGGTGGTGGAGTGACGGGAGGGGTCTTAGCGAGAGCTCGGGGCTGCTTCAGGGGCCTTGGAGGGGATGGGAGGTGGCCAAGAGGGGCTCCGGCGACCCTCGAGGCCACAGGGCCCCGAGCCTGGAGCTCCCGAGCAGAGCTGGGCCCCTGACCCCGGCCTGTGGGGTGCTGAGAGCGGCTCAGACCCCCGGGGTGGGGGCGGGTGAGGATCCAGAGCAGACCCCAGCCCAGGGCCCCTCCCCCTGCCCGCCCTGGTTCAGAGCGCCTGCACATCTGGAAAGCTTGTCCCCCAGGCCGACTGGCGGCCGCACATCTGGAAATACCTGCTCCCCTCCGTGGGAATGGAGCTCGCTGCCCCGGGGGAGGAAGGGGCGGCGGCGGGGGCGCAGGGCCTCCCTGACGTCAGCGGGCTGCAGATGTGCTGATGGAGTAACCGCCCGGCGGCCGCAGCTGGTCTGGACGGGCCGGGGCCCTGGGGAGCCCAGCAACGAGATTCCTCCCGTCCCACCCGCGGCACCAGCACCCCCGCCGCCGCCGCCCTCCTGTCTCGTTCTCTTCCTCCTTCCCCCCCTACAGCCACGGGGGCATTTTGGGGGGCCACTGGGGGGGCGGGAGCGGAGGGAGTCGCTCGGACACAGGTTAGGGGGCTTGGACAGAGCCCCCCTCCTCCACGCTCTGACCCCCACTTGCCTGTCCTCCTCCTGACCCCCCTCCGGACTCTCGCCCCGAGGCAGGGCCTCACTGTCCGTGGTCTCCCCAGCCCCGCAGTGCTGCCGCCGCTGCTCTGGCTTCTGGGACCAGTCACCGAAACCCTCATCCTCGTCCAGTTCAGGGCCCTCCGAGGGCTTCGGGCTGAGGCTGAAAGAGTAGGCACGTTCTCAGGGCTGGGCCAGATGCGGGGCAGGGGGCTGAACCCCCACCCCCACCCTGTCCACAGCGCCTCCCTCTCTCACACCCTGGGCTCCGAGTGCGGGACACCCCATCTGCCCCAGAGGCAGCACCCCACGGCAGGGCCGAGGTCCCCCCATTGTCAGAGAATCCCTGAGGGCAGGACTGTGCCTCCCCCACAGACTGGAGCTACCTGAGGCCAAGACTGGGCCACACCCTATTAAGCCAGGGCTCCCCAAGAACAGGGCTACGTCTCCCGGCTCAGCCTGGGGCTCCCCAAATGCTGGGCTGTGTCTCTCCCCTGCTACCTACGGTCCCCGCGGGTGGGTGCCGAGTTTCCCTCTGCTCTCCCACCTGAGCCCTGCACCCTGTCCCCCACGGCGGGCCTGTGGTCCAGTGGTCCCTGCCTGCCCCCAGCCCCTGCCTGCTAGGCTAGGGACCTGGCCCGAGGGGCCTTGACCGCTACAGCACCCCACTCCACCCAGAGCTGCTGACTCCGAGAAAATGGAAAAAACAAGGGGCGGGGGGGGGGGGGAGCATTATTGGAAAAACAGCCCAGCCCAGCTACAGAGGCCTCCCGGGCCCCGAGAGGGAACAAGCCGGCCCTCGGCCCGCCAAGTTGGATGTGGCCTCAGTGAGTCACAGACGGCAAGGACTAGGGCAAGGGGCTCGGGGGCCAGGGCCCCACAGCTGCGCTCAGAGTCGGTCCAAGCAAGGGGGACCGTGCAGGGTGACCAGGGCCTGAGTCAGGACCCCGGGAGGCTGGCCGGTAGGGGCTGGCTCCACACATCTCCGGCCAGATGTCCGGCAGACTCCGCTGGCACCTGGGGCTGCGACGACCCACACCCTAAGGGCACCCCTACCCCCCAGCCCAGGTTCCAGGGCTGGGCCCCTCCCTCCTCGTCTCAGCTTCTCTGGGGCCTCCAGCCTGGGGCCTGACCCCCGGGGGAGCCCTCTGCCCAGGGGCGCAGGACAAGTGAGCTGGCAGTGTCGGCTTACGGCTTCTGCTCTAGCTGCTCCAGGGACTGGCCTCCTTCGCCCTCATCCTGGGCCCGAAGCTGCCAGGCCCTCTCCTGCTGGCGCTGCCCCCGGGCAGCCCCTTCCTCTCCTTCCACACTCCACTGAGTGGCGAGCCTGGGGGACACGGAGAAAGAGTCAACACCGGGGCCCGTGCCCCACTTCCCCCGTCCGAGCAGGCCCCAGCAAGGCCTCTCTAGGCCTCAGTTTCCCCATCTTTAGAGCAGAGACCTGGAGGGGTGGTCGGGAAGGGGTGCTCGGGTTGGGGGGGGGGTCCCAGGGCTCTGTTGGTCTCTGGGCATCCACGTGCCTTCTGGTGATGTGGGGGCCCCAGTGTCAGACAGGCGTAGGGAAACCCCAAGGATGGGACCAGACCCTCCATCCCCTTCCGGCTGGCTGGATCCCTGGACCTCATGGGAGCCAGAACACTGACTAGTATAGCTTTGGCCCCAGGCAGGGCCCGGAGGGTTCGGGAAGAGCCGGCTGAGGTGCGGAGAGCTGGCTGTGGCCGCCCGACAGCTGGGGTCACTCGTTCGTCCTACCTGAGTCAAGTGACTGTAGCCTCAGCCACTTGGGCGCTGGTGGCCTGGGCTGAGGTCAGGCCATAGGCGGCCCAGCTAGGCAGCCAGGCCCCTAACGCGACCATCCCAGCAGGGGCTATCCTTCCTGCCCCACAGGAGCACAGTGCTGTGGGAGACGGCGGCCCTGCTGGGGAACCCGAAAAGGGCTTTGCCTTCAGCCGGCACCTGACCTCTCAGCTCACCCAACACCACCCCCGCCCCCGGCCCCCGTGCGGAGTCTCTCCGGGCTGTGCCGTCGATGGGGAAACGGAGGCCCACGCAGAGCCGGGCGCAGGGGACCTCACTCCCACACTTCCTGCGGCTCCTCCCTCGGGTCTACACAAGGTCGGCCTGAGACCGGGGGTCCGGGGCCAGACCACCCTGGCCCAGCAGATCTCAGGCTGTTGGCATCCAGTAGGCACCACAGGCCTCAGCCAGCTGGCACGGCCTGCCCGCCCCAGCTCCCCACAGAGCCCAGGAGAGGGGTCCTGGGTCTCCGTTCTACAGCGCTCACTGCCCCGAGCTGGGGTCTCAGCCCCTTCCTGCCGTGTCCCCCGCCTGACCCCGCAGCCCGCTCCTTCAGGGCCCCCGTCCCCTGGCCAGGGTGGGCCGGCTCTGTGGTCTCGGCAGCCGTGCCAGCACATGATCTAATCTCTCCTAGGTCTCCTCGGAGCCTCCCAGACAAAAGCCAGGCCCCTCCATAGCCCCAGCTCGAGGCCCGCTCCCCCCGCGGCAGCCACACGGGACCCCAGCCACGCAAACCGAACCGCCTGCTCAGCCCTCGGCACCCCCAGTCCGCCCCCCACCCCGTGCCGCTTCTCAGAAGCGACTTTGACTCCCACCCCCTCCCCACCCGGGCCCCAGGGAGCCACTTAATCCCCCACACCTGGCTCCCATCAGCGTCCTGCTCCAGGCCCTCGGCTGGGGGCTGGGGGCCACGTCCTGTCTGGGGAGGAAGAGCCTGGGGTGATCCCGGGGATGTTGGAGACCTAGGGTCCAGGGCTCCTCCCCACATGAGAACCAACAGCCCCTCCAGGTGGAGGGCAGAAGCCTAGCAGGGCAGTGGGGGGAAAGAAGGTGTCCACAGCCCTCTCCTGGGGCAGCCTGGGGGCGCCGCAGGGGATTCCTCCAAGGGGTGAGACCGGCACTGCATCCCTTTCACTGCCATGTCCAAGCTGCACACGCCTATGGGTGTGTTGGGCGTTTGGGGGTTTTTTTGGCCAATGTGTGGTGCTGGGGGTGTGTGCACGGGCCCCGGTGGGATGTGTGGGTGGGCCAGGTGGGGCCTCTCTCAGGACGATAGCTCCTGCCCCCCAGGCCCCTCCCCCAAGCCTCGGGGATCCTTCATTGGCACAGCTGAGTGCAGAGGCCACACGGCCTGGTCAGCCCACCGGTAGGGCAATGTGTCCCGGCCAGCAAAGCCCCACGCAGGCCTGCACTCAACCGCGCAATGCACAGCGGGCCTCCCTGGCGCGCACACACACACGCACGCACGCACGCACGCACACACGTGGCAGGA